GGCTGCGGCGCTGCCACTGTTCAGCCCGACTGGCCGCCGTCGCCGCCGCCTCTCTGACAGCTGCGGCCCAGCCCCGCCCACCGGGCCGGGGCCCAATCAGCTCCAGGTTCGGACCACAGCCCCGCCCCGCACGTGCTGCCGGGGGTGGGGGGTGCTGGCCGCAGAGCCCCACCCGCCTGGCGGGGGCGCAGTCACGACGCAGCAGTGCGGACGCCCAGCCCGCGAAGAGCCGAAGGAGTTTGTGGGGTGTCACGGAGTTGAGGGTCGGGTGCAGGAAGCAGGACCCCGAATACCTGCTCTGTACCCTCCACTCAGTTACAACTACTGGCAGAAGGTTTGAGCCTGGAGTGTTTGGACAGTCCTGGAGAGAAGGGTCCTACATGGTCAAAACAGGAGCACCTGTTGGAGAGCCTCTGGCTCCAACAGCTCCTCGCACCTCCTGATTCAGCCAGTCCAGGGAGGGCTGCCTAAGAAGCATGACTCGTGGGGCCTTGGCACTGGACCCCGATTTCCATCAGGGTTGGAAGGCAGTGCTGCCTGCCTCCCCGGGGGACACAACTCCAGGCTCCAACCTACCCTGGCCCACTTCTGTGTGTACACCAACACTCTCCCCTTCCCCCGACACGGTGGCAACCCCTGGCAGCGAGAGCCATGGCTGGGAAAGCTCCCCCCCAAAGAAACAGGACACTGAGAAGGAACTTCCTCCCCTGAGGGTACCTCCACAGGCTTCAGACTTCTAGCTGTACACTAGGGAGGGGCACAAAGCCTTCAGTGAAGTCAGGAACCTGGACTCTAGCCCAGCTCTGTACTGGCATTTGCCATGACCCTGGACAAGACCCTGGCTCTCTCTGGCTCTCAGTTTTTCTGAGGTTAGATAGGAGGATGGGATACAGCCAGTTTGGAAGTCTATGAGAGGTCACTCTGCAGCCTGGGAGGGAGGGGGCTGTCGCCTCTGGAAGGCGGTGGAGGAGCGCCTATAGTCAAGACTACCAGCCACTGTTGCTCTGACCCAACTCAAAGGTGTGCGGTTCTGTGATGCTGCCCCTAATCCTCCCCCATTCATCTCTCTGGGGCTTTGAAATTAAAATCCTGTACAATGTGCAGAGGACAGAACATTAGAATTGGGCAGATTATCAAAATCAGGTGATTTTCCCTATTTTTCACAGGTCCCAGAGCACAGAGAACGACCCCATCCCACACATGCAACCAGCCAGTAGCAGGGCTGGAGCTAGCTCAGAGCTCTGATCTCTTCCTCTAGAGTTGGGAGCTCACGTCCTAGTGCAGGCTGTTCCAGACCCCACATTCCAGGCAGGTGCATCCTGTGAAGGTGTTGGCCACAGTGAGTCATGGCACAGCCAATAGTGATGCAGCATGAGGCACCCCCACACTGTCTCTGGTGAACAGAGTTAATCCCCAGGCTGGTGTTTCTTGGCGCCTTCGAGGTGTATTTTAAATTCTGCGAAGTGACTAAAAATATGTTTCAGTGCGCTGGGTATGAATGACTGTGACGGGAGGGTTAAGCAAACAGATTTCATTCTGAAAGTTGCCTGCTGCCTCTTTCCAGCTTGCTGAACTCGGGCCTGCAAAGTCCAACAGGGTAAGTTCCACGCAGTGGCCTAAGATGACAGGTGATTAACTGGCAAGGACAGACCTAGCACTTCCAGTTCTAGCCCCCACAATGATCCTCAGAACTGTGATGGCAACAGGGGACGGTGCGGCTGTTGGCTGCCCAGCTGTGGAACGGGGAAGGTCTGAGTGCCACCCCAAGCTCCCTTTCCCATTCCCCAAATTCCCTATCCTCTCAGCCATGGCTCTCTTCCAAAAGACAGTTTTAACCCTTGACCTGAAAGAAAAGCATTCTTCCCTTTTCACCGCTGGGTTGGTCCCAGAGCAGTTTTGAGCCTTTTGAATTTGAGGGACCTCTGAGCTGCCATCAAGCAAGCTAGCCATTCCCACCGTATGGGGTTGCTGGGGTTTTAACCCAAAGGCAATATCTTCATTCAGCCCTGGTCCTGAATAAATCATAGTGACTTTTTGAGAACCTCTGGCAGTACGGTGGGGCTTGAGGTTCTCACTGCCATCTCACTGGTGAAGACATTGTGAAAGCTTGGCATGGGGTACCCACCTGCAATCCCAGCACACTGGGAGACTGAGCCAGGAGGGTCAAAATTTTGATCCTAGCCTGGACAACTTAACAAGATCCCATCTCAAAAAAATTTTTTGAAAGAGATCAGGGGATGCTGGAGGTTCAATCCCCAGTACTCCAAAAAGAAAATCATAAAAATTAGGTGAGGAAAAAGAATTTACCCAGGGTCACATGCTTAGTAAATGATGGAGCTTGGACTAAACCCGGGTGAGTCTGCTCTTAATCCAGAGCTGCTGCTTCTCCCCCTCAGTCCTGCTGTCCGCTTCTTCAGTGCTCAGTTTCCGTGTCAGCATAATGGAAAACTGAACTCACTGATGGCCACCTATTCTGATAGTTCATTAGGTCCAGACCTAACTTTGAAACAAATAGGACACGGGACATTAGTAGCCATTATTCAAAGGGCAAGTATGTCTGAGGAATGGTGAGGAAGCACAGAGAAACGTCCTGCATGAGGGGCTTTTCAGAGCCCTAACTACAAGTGTGTACACTGTGCGTCTCAGAGGAAAGGAGAGGCTGCCGTGTGCTTATGTGTACTTGGCCACAGGGCATCTTGTAAGACCCCAGCTCTGCAGAACACTCTGAAAAGCACCGGCCTAGAATGTACCAGCTCTCCCCAGGCTGACCATTGGGGGTTCTGTCCACCACCCCTCAGCCCAGCCCCCTACATAGGGCTCTGTGAGAGATCAGGCTTCAGTTGTTTCTCTTCTCAGCTGTCACACCCTCTCTTGGCAGCCTCTCACCCATGCCTGAGCTTTCAGTGATTATACATGTGCTCATGACCCCCACCTTCATCTCAAGATGGGCCTCCTCTCCAAGCTCCGATCCATATGCAATCTCCTGCCTGTGCAGCCATCCCACAGGCCACCTCAGCACATACAAAACACAACTCACCATCCATCCTGCCCCCAAGCTTGGTCCCACTGTCTCTGGACAAATAGCACCATCACCCACAGTTTCCCAAGCAGAGGACTCTGGGAGCCATTTGGAACTCTTTCTTCTCCCTCAGTTCCCATATCTAAAGCCTGTTGATTTTTTCTCCAGTGCTGCCTTCACCCCCTGACACATCTCACCCCTCTGTGTCTCACTTGGACCCTGTAGAGCTCAGCAGCACCTGAGCTCCAGCATCCCCCTCCATGCTTTCTCCATAATGCTCATTGGTAACTTTCTAAAGCACACATGAGTCCTCCATCACTACCTTGCACAAAACCTTTCCATGGCTCCTCACTGCTTATAGGATTATAAGTATTTAAGTTCCTTAACGTGATCTCCACAACCCTTCACAACCCTTCCTGACTCATAACAACCTCCGATCTCAGATCCTGCCTCCCATTTCTCAAAATTACTCCCCACCACACTGAACACAGAGCCCTCTGGACTTACAGTCATTAAGCTGCCTGGAGTCTGAGCAAGTGGCAAGAACTGGGTCGCTTGTTTATAGTGCCTGGCCTTTCCTCGACAGAAAAACTCCGTCCCGCTAACTCAATGATGATTCAGGACCACGGAGAGCGTCACCGTGCAACCCCCGACCCCGACCCTTTAGTTGCTTTTAGTTGGCTGGGTCTAGGCTGCCTACCTCTCTCACCCTTCAAAAGCCAGCACAGATACGACTTCCTCCACGAAGCCTTCCCTGACCCACTTGAACAACCGGTCATTTCCTCCCCTGGGTTGTTGACTAAATTCCATCACATCAAACTCATTATGCGGATTGTGTTTGTACAAGAGGCCATCACCACCACCCTCAGACAGATCATGAGCCTCAACGGCCCATACCCTGTCTGATTCATCTTCACTATTCAGTACAAAGGAGGTGCTTGGATAATGTTTGTTGATTGAATGAGTAAATGACATTTAGCAGGTGCGGGAAATATGCGCTGGTTTGCATCATGTATCTGTTGCTCTGAGTGACTCAGAAACCAGCCAGATTCCTTTCCTGGCCCCTCTAGAAAAGTCATTTTTCTCCCTAACTGACTTCACCCTCCACTAGCCTCCCCCTGCCGTTTGATCCTATCCTTTGGTCAGCTTTTCCTGAGGTTCACCACTCATAGGTGGGGAGAAGGGCCCCTCTTCTCCGCTCCTGCGGTGGCCAAGCTAAGGACTTGTTGGAGCCCCCAGCCCCCAGCCTGGGCCTGCCTCATGGGCTTTGTTCAGAATACCTCCTCTCTGCCTCTCTGTCTCCTGCTCACAACAGATGGCTCCGAGTCCCCACTAACACAGAAGTTCCTGTTCTGTCATTTGGACATTTTAACGCTTTTTAAATTATAGAAGCTTCATTCTCATTTGGTCATGGACTGAGACAGTCAGAAATGAAGAACCCCTTGAAGGACATTGAGCCCTGACTTTTTACTGTCCCACGAGAGACTGAGGTATAGGGAGGGCCAATGGCTGCCCAAAATCACTGCAATGGATGTTGTATTTGTTTTGGTTTGTATCTCCCCCCTTTTCTTCTCTAGTTGCTAGTTTGGGTTTTGTCTGTTGTTGTTTGTTTATTTTTTGCTGTAATGGAGATGGATCCCAGGGCTTCACATATGCTAGACAAGCTCTCTACCACTGAGCTACACCCTCAACTTTGCTTTTTTTTTCCACACGTGTGGGGGTAGGGGCCGGAGCACCCCAGAGTCAACTGGTCGGGGGGGGGGGGGGGGTGTTTGGGCTTGGTTTTTCAGTACTGAGGATTAAGCCCCAGGCCTTTGGTCTGAGCTACATCTCCAGCCATTTATTTATTTATTTATATATTTATTGAGACAGGGTTTTGCTACATTGCCCAAGCTAGGCTCAAATTTGCAATTCTCCTGCCTCAGCTTCCCAGAGTGCTGGGATTACAGGCATACACCACCACACCCACCTTACTGTTTTATTTTGATGATCACAATTCACTCATTCCTCTTCCCAACAGCTCTCTGGTTTCCTGATCTTATAAATCAAGAGATGGGCATATGATCCCCTGGCCCAACTGGACTGTCATATTCTGGGCTTTAAATTTTGAGTTTATGACAAAAGAATAAGGAAAAATGCCTGGAGCTGTGGCAAAAACCCCCAAATGAGAGGGCCTGAATCTTCTGCCTCCTGAATCTCTTGGCTACCCATCAATTCCATAAGCCCTTGATACGTTCCCCAAAAATCCCTGGGTAGGCAATCCAGTTCTATTGCTTAACAATCTAAATTGATATGGTTCCCCAGAAGAGTCAGTGCTACTCACACCCCTGACTGCTGAGAGAAAGTATGGCTCCAACAACCTCAACCTCCAGACCTTCTGCCTGCTCTTCTTTAGAGACTTTATTAGCTCAGCAACCCCCCAGCACAAGGGAAAGTTACATACTTCAGAGAACGGAACAGACAAACTTGTGGTTTGGGGTACAGAAACAGAGCTGCGCAGGCTCAGTTATCCAAGCCTTAGTCGTAGTGGAAGAGGAACTTTCGGCAAGACACCTCCTCACACGCTCACATATGGACAGGCTCACCTGCCAGCCAGGACCTCACCTGGGAGCAAGCCATTAACATATATACTGAGCAGGGTCAGGCTTGAGGATCTGCCTGGCTGAGCAGCATTTTTCCTCCTGTTGACATTCCCAACAAACCAATCAGAGTATGAGTGACTGGGATTCCCCAACAAGTGCTCTTCAGGGCCGAAAGATGCGCTCTATTTACCAGACTCTTCCACTCTAAGCTGAGTGGCCTGGCTCTCCAGACCTCTTACATCTGTGGCCTCAGCCCATGGTGACTGGCCCCAAAGAGGCAGGAGGCAGGAGCTGAGTGAAGCTGGGGTGTGGCTTGGCTGCAGGATAAGAGATTCGTCTCTGCCCCTCCTAGGGCCCACCAATCCCTGAGCCCCAGACCTCCCCTAAACCACTTTGATGATTATATCCTATCAGTCCCTCCTGTGCACTTGTCTGAGTCCTAGGAAGTACCACCTTGCCCTGCCCAGCATCCCAAGGGTCTGAAGAAGCTACCCTGGCTTTTAGATGACAGTCTCAGCCCATCAGTGAGCATCTGAAGTCCTTCTGGTCACGGCCAGTCCCTCCTCCCTTCTCCCCCCACCGAGGACACACACACCCTCCCCCTCTGGCTTCCATGATTCATGACAAGTCTCCTGCCCCACTCCCTGCACCTTTGTCCTGCTCCCTCACCCAGGACTCACCTCCTCTTACCAGCACCAAAACCATTTCCTGGAAGACTTCTGAGGAATGTGATACCTTCTCCTGCCCAGAGGTGTGTCTCACTCGGCCTAACCCAGGGTTTCCCCATCCTGCCTTGGGCTGTGAGGTCCAAGCGCAAGGTTGGAGTCTGATTTGCTTCCTGACAACGTGATGAGACTCATGGATGCCAATATATGTTTGCAGGATTGACAGGAATGAGGTTTCTCTTTTCTTTCTCTTTTCAATACTAGGGATTGAGCCCAGGGGCACTCCATCATGAAGCTACGTCTTCAGGCCTTCTTATTTTGACACGGGATCCCTCTCTCTCATTAACTTGCCCAGGGTGAACTTGGACTTGCAGTCCTCCTGCCTCAGCCCCCAAGTAGCTGGAATTACAGGTGAAACCCAGCTTTCTGATCTTCCTCCCCAGCCACTGGACTTGGGTGGGGAAGGGAGAGGATGAATATTCTGATTCTTGGGCAGCCCTTTGCCCATATTCTGGGACCTGAGCCTCACGAGCCAGCACCCCCAACCGGGGCTGCTAGGTGGGAGATTGAGCTATTAGAAATGTGCTTCTGTGAATCTAGACCCATCCTGTGAAAATCACATGAGGCCTCAAGTGGGAAAGCCATCTCTGACACGCTTCTGGAATACAGCTGGGGAAGCCGCAGCGCTGAGAGAGGTAAGAGGTAGCCCTGATCACACCATCAGTGAATGAGGAGAGAGCCCATAGCATCCTGGCTCCAGCCCAGACAGACTGCCACCTTCTCAGGGGAAATCAACTGACCTCCTCAATGCATTCCCTGTAACTCCAGGGCGGCCCGTTTCATGAGCTCCAAAGTCAAGTCATGGATCAAGGGCTGGTCAAACAGGTGATGCTCACTTCCAAAGGAGGGCTGACTGGGGGGCACGTGGGAGCAGAGCTAGAGAGTCTAGCTTTGGCTTGGTCTGTTCCAGCCAAAGAGGAGCAAGGAGGACACTCTGGGCAGCAGGGATGGGGCTGCTGGTGAGGGTCAGGGGCTGTACAGGCGTCCAGGCCACTGCTCCACCCACAGCTACTGGGAGGCAAGCACAGCCTGACACAGTGGAGGTAGCAACCAGCAAATGAGCAAATGATCCCCTGGCTGGGCTCCAGGGGAGGGGACAGATGCGCAGGATCCTGGGCGGACAGAACATGCCTCCCCATGGCTGCCCGCCTGGAAGCTGTTGATCCCTAGCAGGCCTGCTGAGCCCAGCTGCTCAGAACTGTGTGTGTGGGTCCCACGGAGCTGGCCTTCCCAGCAGGGCTGGGGGTGAGAGTGTGGGTGAAGTACAGGGAGCACAGAACCCAGGACAGCCAGGAGTGTGTGCACAGCCATACGAGCCCCTCCTCATGGCCTGAGCACAGCTGCCCTGCATCTGTGAAGGCATGGGTGCTCCTTCCAGTGGCTCCCTGGCACTTGGAGCCACACACCCACACCAGCAGCCAAGTGAAAACCCACCTCCAAGGCCAACTTCTATTCAGGTGAAGAATTCACAGAGGGTGTCTGTGCCCTCCTGGCTTTGCAGACTGGGAAAGCCAGGTCAGGATGAGAGCTCTGGGGCAGGGACATCTAGAGACCCAAGCTGAGTGTCTTCCTCAGTTTCCCCACTGCAAAGGCCACCCTGCCCCCTCAGCCTACCCACCTCTACCTCTCCCCTCCCCATTCCTACAGAAGCACCATGAGGCTAGAATGACAGGATTGCCTAAGGCCTGAGTTCCAAGGGCTTTGTACTGACCATGCTTTAATGGGGGCACCCTGGCAGCCAGAGTGTGCGCCTAAGCTGAAGGGCCTTGAGCTGGGCACAGGCACAGGTGTAGGCCCAGGCCTCCCTTGGCGGGTGCTGACAGCTCAATTCCCAGGCCTTGGGCCCTGCCAGCTCTCTAGCTGGGCGCAAACAAGTAGCAGGTGCAGATCAGCTGGGGTCCCTGAGTCACAGCTGAAGGTGGGTCGAGACACTGCTACTGTGGAGCCGCAGGAGGCACACGAGCAGGGAGGCAGCCCCCTTGCTGCAGGGCAGGGGCCTCAGGGGCCCTCTGTGGAGGCGCCGGTGCCAGAAAGCAGGCCTTGGCTCTCCCTGTCTTTGCTGTCCACATCTTTGCTATCCAGGGTCCCTGTGGGAGGAAAAGAAGCTTGTATTTTCCAGCCCCACAGAAGGCAGAGGGACTTTGGGAACAGGCCTGGGTATATCTGTCAGGAAATCCTCTAGGTTCCATTTGCAAAATAAATTCCAGAGCCTCCCACTCCCTTCAGAGCTTCTACTGAGTGCTAGGGTTGAGTTGTTCCAGAGCCTCCTATGGCCTCTCTGCCCCAGCTGTGACCTGCTGTGGTCTGCTTTCAACACAGCAGCCAGGGCAGTGCTTTCCCAATGCAATCGGACCCCTTGGGGCTCTTCCCATCTCACTCTGCTTTAAGGCTGAGGCCCTTACAAGGATTCCCCAGCCCCCCATGCTCCACCCTGTACTGCCACCCTCATGCTTACCACCGTTCCTCACACCCCTGCTCTGGCCACACTGGGCTCTGTTGGTCCTCAGCACAGCAGCTGCGCTGCACCTCAGGGCCTTTGCACTAGCGCTTCTCATTGCCAAGGGCACCTTCCACCAGGTACCGCATGGCATGCTCCCTCCCTTCCTCCAACTTTGCCCCATGTCACTTATGCAGTGAAGGGCTCCCTGGCCACCCTAGCCACAGCTGGAACCTACCCCTGCAAGTCCCTCCCCACCCGCTTTCCTGCTGGTTGTCTCTACAGCACATATCCCCTGAGGGCATTCTCTCACTTTTTCTTTTTGGTCTGTCTCCACCCACTAGAGTGGTAGCTCCATGAGGGTTTAGATTTCACCTAATTCAGTCACTCCCTGGCATCTGCAGCCCTACCTGGCATATAGCAGGGTGTGATAAGTATTTTCCAGTGAATGAAGCTGGCCATAGGCTTGGGGTCAAGGTGGCCAGTGCCCCTCTGCCCCTAGGTGTGCATGGAGTACCTGTGCCAGGCTGTCGGGCCCGGGCCTGGTCTCCCTCCAGGTGCAGTGCGGTCAGCAAGAAGCAGCCACCACCCAGGACAATGGCGAAGGCACAGCACAGGAAGCTCTGCTGCAGGCTAAGGAAGCGCTGCAGGTAGGAGTCAGGGCGCCTGGCCCGAAGGGCGCTGGAGATCTGCGAGGAAAGACACGTCTGCCAAGCCCCCCAGGCCAGCCCCTGGCCTTAGCAAGCAAGGTTCCTCGCTAGAACTTCCCACCGGACACACTCAGCCAGCCTTACAAGTCCAGTGAGGTAGGGGCTGCCAGCGTCTCCCAGGATGTGGCCCACTGTGATCTGAAGCGCCTCTGCTGTCCCTCGGCATCTGGGCGCCACCACAGACTGCAAAACACAAGAGCCCCAGGGAGCTCCCCCAGCGAGAGCAGAGTGGGTGCCCCCCACACCCAGCCCTGCTCCCACCTGCTGAGGACCTGCCTGGAGCTGTGACAGGCTGGCCAGGTGACGAGGACAGGAGGAAAACAACAGCCCTCAAAGTCAGACATCAGGCCCCTCCGTGATCATGCCTAGGGACGGGGTTCCAGGGTGCTTATCAAGGTACCCCACAGTTTGACCTTGAACTGGGCAGGAACCAGGCTGGACAGTGATAGTGCCGGCTCAGGGGCCAAGAGGCAGCAGGGCAGGTGCCTGCATGTACAGGCATTTGGGGCAGGGGTGGCACGGAGAACTCAGTCTTCTCGCGAGCGTCAAGCCCCACTGGGTAGGGACCACAGGGAGCCTTGCTGGGGAGGCCCACACATCTCCATGGAAGCGGGAGGGAAGGTCCAGAATAGAATTCTCAGCTGCAAGGAGCACTTGTCTAGTGTGTTTGAGGCCCTGGGTTCCATCCCCAGTACTTCAATACCTCCAAATAATTCTAGAATCAATCTGTTGGGGTTCCCAACCTGGATCCCCTCTCCATTAGCCACGTGGTTTTAGGCCAGTTGTTTCATGCTTCTGTGCCTTAGTTTCTTCATCCCCAGGTGGAGACACTGAGAGTACCTGCCTTGAGGGAACCCTCAACATTATTTGGCTGGCAGCCAAAGACTTCGGGTGGACATTGTGCTGAAATGAAACCCCGGAGGCAGAATCGTCTGGACACCTGAACACGTGATGCCTTCTGTCCACCCTGCCTCCCGCACTCGGGTCTACCTGAAGCATCTCTGCATGTCACTTAAGGCTTACCTTTGGGTCACCTCCTCTGCAAAGCCCTTTCAGAGTTCAGGCGCCTGCCCACGCTCCCACAGTCCCCCACACACCCCTAACTGAACACACATCACCCAGAACTGGAAGGAAGGGTCCTTTCTTTGTTCACCTCCCCTTGTCACCCACACTGTGATGGCAGCAATGCCCCTAATTTCTTGGGGTCCCTAAAGGACAGAGAGACATGAGACACAGAGGTGACTAATGGAAAGTCTTCCAATGAGCATATTTATGTGGAAACTTCTGGAAGGCGGATCACAGGAGAAACCCTGCCAGGCCCAGGGCTTCTGCCCACTACGGGAGCCTCCTGCCTTGCAGCCTTGACTCAAGCTCTCAGTGCCCATAATCTGAGCTGAGCAGAGAATAATAGCAACGATGATTATAATTCCTAACATTATTGAATGTTTCCTTATGCATTTTATATATCAACCCATGAGGGAGATACAATTATTATCTGCATTTTATAGATGAGGAAACCTCCACAGAGCAGGTGAGTGACTTTCCAGGGTCATCCATCAATATCCCTAGCCTTCCCCCTCCAGGGCCTGGCCCTCTGATCACTCTGCTGTGATGTGTGAGGAGGGGCTGGCATTTCCAACAATGTTTGCGTTTGTTATAGAACATTTAGAAGATGAAAAGAAAGCTAAAGAGGACAGGTCCATCAGCAGCCCTGCAATGCTCAGGAGAGGAATCAGTAGCTGGCTGAGCGAGCGAGCGCTGGGTGAGGGGCTCTCCAGGCAGGGGACAGTGGCATTCAAACTGTGGAAGAGGAGCCCAACGGGACAGTTCCTGGATTTCATAACCAGAGAGGCCAGATGCATGAGGTCTGGTGAGAGGGGGCCTTGTGGGTGGGTAGGGCCCAGTGGCAGGGGTCCCTGTGGGTGATCAGCCAGTCCTGGGGTCACTGGCACTGAGCCACCCTGTCCAGGTGGTGAGAGAAGCTGGGCCTCCTGCCATGGCGGGGACCTGCCAAAGGCTCAGGAGGAACTAACCGCAGCTTTACACCTTCCACAGGACTTCCTTCTCACCCCATAATTATGTGATTACTCATGGGTGGTTCTGGGGAGAATTCAAGGCTTCCTAGAGTGAGGGCCCTGCCTGTTCAGAAAGTTCCTGTGGGGGCTGGCGCTGCTTGGACCCTCAGTATAAGGTCCAAGCCACTGGCCCCTTCCCTCCCCTCCTGGAAACCTCAGCCTGCTGGGCCCAGAGCCGCCACTGCTGTCCTCGGTGGGAAGGCAGGTCTTCTTCCCCGACCCACCCGGCCTGTTCTGGTGGCTTCGCACAGCCAGGGCCCAAGGCTGGGCCCAGCAGCAGCTGGAAAGCCCATGGGATAATTTTAGAAATGAGAGGCTTTTGGGTTCCCAAAAACTCCAGGTTCATTCTATTCTGATACAAAACACCTCTGTTTTGGGCTCACTCTTCTCAGAAAGCTGTTCCCTTTATAGCCCAGGGCAAAATCAGCTCTAGCCAGAGGCATGCAGACCGTCAGGTAGGTAACTGCGCCAGCTGCAGACCCTGGATAGCCTGCCTCCTGTACGCCCCACTGGGCCCTCAACCCAGGCAGCCCTGGGAGAGCGAGACAGACCCTTGAGCTGACAGCTACCTGGAGGGTAAGGCTGAGCAAGGGAGCACTGAGGCAGAGGAGAGGGTGGTAGCCCCCAGTAGGGGGTGGGGAAAATCCGCTGAGGAGGTGGGATGGGAGTGAGCCTGGGAGGGCGGCAACGAGCAATTTCTGCGCTATTCTCCACACCGGGAAGTGGGAGGTGGGTGAGCTGGCTGTGGGTCATCCCGGGTGGGGTGAGGAGGGATCTGGAGACCTGGTGAGTGGGTTTGGGTAGGCAGAGAGTCAACCTGGGGAGAAACAGGCTCCAGAGACAGCAGCAAGCCTTCCAGAGTGGGACCCTCTGAGGCCCAGCTAGGCCACAGGAAGTTGCCAAAATGGGTATTGGCTGTGACTAAGCCGGACCATTTTCATGCACACAAAGCCCCCTGGGAGGCAGGGGAGTGCACTCCCCAAGGAGCAGGGCGGGATGTGGGCAAGGGGACAGTGGGAGGGAATTTTGCAAAGCCTTGGTGGATGGGGACTTTGAGTGTGCTAGGCCAGTGTCACTAGCGTGCTCTGAGGAATACTGGACCAGGATCCCTCTGGGAGTTCCTCAGAAATGAAGGTCCCTCCACCCGCTAGCCCCACCGAATCTCAATCTGAGGACACGGGGCCTAGAATAGCGACAAGCACCTCCAAACTCAATTCTTATGCATAAGGAAGTTTGAGAGCCACTGGACCACACAGGCCCAGAGGCCCTGCTCCAGAGTGTCTGCATTCTCCATCAGTGGATTAAGGATCAAAGAGAGCAATGCCCTAAGGCAGACTATCTCAGGGGCTAGAAGGCCCACAGGACCCCCTCAGCAACACGCAGATATACACCTTAACCCATTCCCTTCCTAAGGCCTACAGAGTAACTGATAGGTACTACCACTTCTTCTACTGTACAGCTGTGCACAACAAGGGTCAGAGAGGTTAAGTTACTTGACCAAGGTTACACAGCTAGTTAGGGACAAGGCTAGGACTGAAAGCAGATAGACTGCTGCACAGGCCTCCAACCCGGGATCTGTTGACCTCGCCCCTTCAAACCTCCCACAGGTTCCCACCCACTTCTTCCACTCTCTGCTCCTGTTTTCCCCTTACCCCCTCTTGGCCTCCTCTCTAGCCCAGAACACTCTGCCTGCATCTGCAGGCCCCTCAGCTCCTGCCCACTCATTCCTAACCCACTGTGGGCACACACCCTGTGGCCTCCTGGCTCCCTCAGGCCCCTGCCCGAAGAGAATCCCACTTCCAGCCTCAGAGCAGGTACGTGTGGCCAAGAGGCCTCCCTGCCCTTCTGGGTCCCATGCCCTTGCTGCTCCCCACATGCCAGGGCCACCTCTCTCCTCACCCTCTGCCCTCTCTGGCCACCTCTCTTATGCTTGTTTGCTTAGTTGGTTGGTTGGTTTGGGTTAGGTGTGTGTGTGTGTGTGTGTGTGTGTGTGTGTGTGTGTGTGGTGTTGTGATATACTGGCCATTAAACCCAGGGTCTTGCACAAACTGGGTGAGCACTTTACCACAGAGCCACGCCCCCCCAGTCCCACTTAGTTAGTTTTGTTTGTTTGTTTGTTTTTGAGACAGGATCTGGCTACCTGGCTACAATGTACAAACTGGCCTCAAACATCCCATCCTCAGTGGGTGTTGTGGTGCTTGCCTGTAATCCCAGCACTTTGGAAGGCTTAGGCAGGAAGATCAAAAGCTCAAGGTCGGCCTGAGTAATTTAGCAATTTACCAAGACTCCGCCTCAAAATTTAAAAAAAAAAAAAAAAAAAAAGACTGGGGCTATAGCTCAGTGCAAAGGCCCTAGGTTCCATCCCCAGTATTGGAAAAGAAAAAAACCTGTCCTTCCTCCTGCCTCAGCCTCCTAAGTAGCTGGGATTACAGGTGTGCAACAACTCACCCAGCTCTGGCCACCTCTTGAAAGGCCAACTTCCTAGGATCTTGTGCCACATCTAGACATTGTTTTCCCGCTCTTCTCCTGTCACCACGTGCGCCTCTACTACACAACAAGGTCACCCACAGCCTGCCTGTGCCCGCACAGGCCCTGAGACCACCGCCTCCTGCGCCTCTGCCGGGGAATCAGCAGCAGGGGCCTCTGAACTCCCAAGGCTGCAAGGACCAGCCCAGCCCCCACCACCTACATGCAGGAAGGTGGTCTGCAGCCACAGGCTCCCAGGAGGGGGAGGCTGGACAAGGGGCAGGAAGCTCGCTGGGTGGCTGTGCCTAACCGTGGGGCTGAGGTCTCCAAGCCAGGGAAGAACAGCGAGGAGCTGAGGCGCCAGCTCCCCGATGGGTCAGACTCCAGCGGGCCAACCCCCCGCTGCTTCTCCCTTCAGTTCCATGAAGAGCCTGGTTCCGTCAGGTTAATCATTCTTCAGACACAGACACCGTGGTACACAGTAGAGTCCTCACATATCTGTGGGGCCGTCATGTGTAGCCACGCCGTGGGGGGCAAGTGGAGGAAGCTGTGGGGGGCATATTTAGCTCTGCTTGAACTGCCAAGCTATGCTGGGGGTGGGATGTTCACCTCCCTGTGTCCAGGGTACGTTCCAGCGTGTCGTCTCGCCAGCCCCACTCGGCAGGCTGCGATTACCCCTTTTCATAGACCAGGAAACTGAGGCCCAAGGCCATTTGGCAGTGCCGTGGCCAGGTCCCAGGCTGAAGCCCAAGTCACACTCGGGACGGAGGGAGGGAGAGCCGGGGAAGGCCGCCAGCCCTGTAGCTGATACCCACCGGGAGCCAAGGACAGAGCAGCCCTCCCCATGCTGGCTGAGCCTGGGCCACGGGGACGGGGCAGCACAGCTTGGCAGGGAGTGAGCGTCCTGTCAACAGTTGTATTCAAGAAGGCCTTGTTGTCTAGATGACTGCACATTCCCATAGCTCTCTCACACTCGGGTTTTAGGACACCAGGATTTCTTGGGGGGACAGGAGATGGACAGGTGAAGACCTGGAAATTGCTGAGAATCTTAGGCGGCATCCTCTTCTGGGCAATGGGCAAGCGTTTCATATCACCCTCACCCTGATCTCAGGTCCCCCTCACAGGTGGTACTACAATCATCTCCATGTGGAGAATCTGAGGCTCAGAGACACAAAGTGACTTGCCTAGAGTCACACAGCTAGTGATAGAAGCAGAGCTGAATCCCTGATCTGTTTCCTGACCCCAGGCCTGTGTCCCTGCACTGCCGGTGCCCGGTTGCCCTGGGTCCGTTTCCAGGGGGGATTGTGCCACCAGAAGGCCACAGAAGGGTGCGGGGTGCTCCCAGGCCCAGGAGTCCACGTTATCAAGTACACAGTCCTTCTCTCTGTTCAAAGTCTGTCCCCACACACCGCCCAGAAGGAGGCAGGGAGGCAGACAGTGTGAGGCTCAGGGAGGGGCCGAGCTGGACCCTGGCTGCCGCAGTCATGTGGTCAGGACAGCGTCAGGCCTCATGAGAGCCTGAGCCAGGGCTTTATACAATGCATGAGTTGGGGTGGACACCGCTGGGCTCAGTGGCCATTGCCCTGAAGTCTAGCACCGCAACTGCATACCTGAGTGCGGCTTGCTAAGAAGTGGCTTGGTAAAGAATGGGCAAAGGAGGGAGCCCTGGCATCCGGTGCTGGCGCAAAGCCTTGGCACTGTGTGACCATGGCCCTGGCACCTGCCTTCTCCGAGCTTCCATTTGCTCATCTGCAACATGGGAGCGACAGTCAGAGGAGAGATGTGAGTGTCAGAGGCCCTGTGGTCCTCGGCAGCTGTGAGCGGCCTTGGTCCCCTACCCCATGGCCTCTCCAACCCCCAGGCTGCTCAACAGCAAAGGGCAACTCTGAGTGGACAGAACCAGCCCCACACCTACCAGCAGAATGTCGGCCACCACTGCCCAATTGCAAGACAGAAGCAGCTCCCCCAGCGCCAGGAACACCTGTGGAGAAAGGGCGGTGGGTGAGGCTCCCGCAGTGCCACTTCCCACCTGTGGACGAGAGAAACTGGGGCTCCACACAGAAGGTGAGACCGAGACTGGCTGAGCTGGGCATGGGGGGAACCGGCTCCCCAGCTTTCACACCGCAGTGGTAGGCAGTCCCCGAAGGCCTGGTCAGCAGCCAGGACCCAGCCCTAAGCACCAGGCCCCAGCCTGAGAAGTGCGCTCTTCCTAAGGGATAGTTCTGAGACCTAGCTCTTGGGGTCGCTCCTAGGCCCCAGGGGAGGCAGCCAGGACTCCCAAGACACTTTCAAAGTGGAGGCAATACTCTTTGAGAGGTGGAAGGCCTAAGGACTGTTCAGAGCTTACCAACACCTTACCTGCTGTCTTTTGAAGCCAGTACACAATTATAAGTCGCCTACTGTGTGCACGACAGCCAGTCTGGCCTGGACACCCCATGATAGCCTCTCCCAGGCCATCCCTTGCCCAAACCCCTGGAGCAGTATAGGGCTAGGACACCCATGGTGTGGGGGAACTGGGACCCAGGGGAAACTGAACCTAGCCAAGGCCAAAGCTTGTCTGAGGTCACCAGCCAGACCGAGGCAAAGCCAGCCGCCCATTCGAGGCCGGCCCCTTCCCAGTGCCCACTCCCTCCTTGTTCCGATGTTCTCTGGTGACCACAGGCAACTGTGGGCCGGCCTTATCCAGCTCCCTGAAACTCCCACCTCGTGCCAAGGGATTAAGACAATCCTCATTCCCCTCACTCAAGAACAGTTTAATGAAGCAGCAAGAAGAGAAAGAAAGTCTCCTTTCTCAGAGCTCCCAAGAGCTTATTGCTGGGGTGGAATTAGTCATTCCTGGAGTCACGGGGCTGCACACCGGGCAGGAGGCTCAGGCACTCAAAGCCTGATGCTCAGAAGCCTGTGAGCACAAGCGTAGAGGAACGAAGGACCACTGCCCAAACACCTACTGTGCACCGGCATGTCCGCTCTTGTCGCCCACCTCTCAGGTGAGCTGATAGTTGCATGTCACTGCACCCATGTCACAGACCAGGGAGCCCAGGCTCAAAGTTACACATCAAGCCCTTTCCTGAAGAGCCCCTCACCCCTTTGACCTGTGCACAGTGAGGGTGAAGAGATCTTTGGCAAAAAGAGCTCAGGGTCCTTCAAGGGCCACAGTGCGCAGTGAAACTGTCCCGGGAGAATCAGGCAGGGAGGAAGGTGGCCCTGAGCAGAGGGCAGTCAGGATCAGGATGGACTGAGAAGAGCTGCAGGACCACCGAGGTGGAGGACCCACACGAGCTGAGGCAAGGCTGGAATGTGCCCTCCATGCCGGGTGGGGCAGGAATACAGGCAGGCACTGGTGAAGGGTGGGCGGAAGAGGCCAAGTGAGCTGTGTGTTCTCTTACTCTAACCAGATTCCCTGTAACTGCAGCCTCTGGCCCACAGCACACAAAGGGGAGGCCCTTGAGGGCAGGGTGGGCCTGCCGTGGGGCCTAAAACATGGGATGGGCACCCACAGCAGAGGGAATCGGGAAGCTGCTGGCTGGAAGTTCTCAGGCGAGGCCCAGGCAGGCCACACACTGCATCCTGGCTTGACAGGGCCTACCAACCAGCCTCCTGCAGACACATGAAAGCCAAGCACGACACATCCACCTCCTGCTATGTCTTCCATCCTCCTCCTCCTCCTGGGCCACCCGCTCTGCTCTCTTCTCCTCACATGCCAGCCCGCCCCTGCTGCGTCCTCTCCCGCCACACAGTCCAGACACCAGCAGCCTCAGCTGCACAGCCCCACAACCTCCGGTTTCGTCTCCCCTCGGCATGGTCCACACCCACAGGACATACTAAAATACACCTTTTCCTTCCTCCAGCTGGGGCAGGGTGGATCCTGATCCCAAAAAAACCCAATGGGAGAGAGGCGGCAGCCACAGTGGGGCTTTTCAGGCTGAGCAAGCCATCCAAAGATGCCAGGTTTCTTCAGACACACCTGGAAACTGACACCGCACCGCCAAATCCTTGGCTCCACTCTGTGGCTCTGAGGGGCAAAGGACTGGCTGGGGAGAGGCTGCCTGCTAATCCCTTAATTACAGAGGCTCCTCGCCAGCTCCAGCCCGGCCACCAAGGCTCCAGGAGGGGCTCTGTGACAGAGGGGTGTGTCCTCTCCAGTGTCTGCCCCAGACCCACCTGCCTGCTGAGGCACACAGACGGGAGGCCCTTGAGGGCAGGGTGGGCAGCTCCCTGCCTCTGGGCCTTGGCTTCCCTGACTACATAATGATGGGGGAATCTAGATGCCTAACCAGCCTCCTCAGGCGCCAACAGACAGCCCCTGAAGCTGGTCACCTCACCGCATATTTGCCATCCCCTTAGGGCGAAGATGAGGTCTTAGTTCAATGGCCTCCATGACTGATTCAGACTTGGGTTTCTCAATTAAAAAACAAAACCAACAAACAAAAAGGGCCCCAGCTTGAAGAACTTAGTGCCTGTTCAAAGCCACTCCTACACAGGCACCTCAGCCCTGCAGGTCCAGGCCTCTCCTGGACAGCCACCAGGCACAGCACACTGTCCAGGGTTCTCCCCCCTCCACCCGTCCACATCACCGCTCCTCCCCGCGTGGCTGAGCCAGCCAGGATGCAAGCGGAGAGGCTGCCAGTGCTCTGCTGAGGCTGTTCATCCTCGGACTCAGGGGACCCAGGGAGAACCGAGGCCAGACGCAGGGTGATCGGACATCTCGCGCTCACCCACACACCCCTGCCGTCGCCGCTCCTGCCTGGTCTGCATCCTCACTGTTCCTCAGCTCTGCCTCTGCCTCCTGCACATGCTGCAGGGCCTCCCCTGTTCTCCTGCCTCCTCCCCAGTTTCCCAGACCCCACCAGCCCATGGGGGACTTCCAAAAGGGAAATCAGACTCCACTCCCCTGAGCCCTGTCTTAGTCCTTGCCGGACAACAGGGCCTGGGAATGCTGCCCGGAGCTGAAACACTGGCTGGGCCTGCAAGCCCTGGCCCTGGCCATTTCAGACTCAGAGGATTTCCCCTTCACGCTGGGGCAGCAGTGATGAAAATCCCTGGCTTAGTCACCCCTGGCCAGAGAGGTGCACACATACACACCCATGCTCACGTGCATGCAACCACACAACATGCACAGACACTCAAAGTGCAACCATGTGCAAGGGTTCACACGTGCACACAAGCTTCAGCCCATACCTGCACATACACACAACACCCAGAGCCTGGGAGCCACTCGCAAACCAGACAACACAAGTCCACACATAAGTAGGTCACAGGGATGACAGGCAAAATATCAGACATGTGATGCCATTCACAGCAATGCACACCTGTAGTCCTCATGGTCAGGAGGCTGAGACAGGAGGATTACCACAAGTTTGAGGACAGCCTGGGCTACATAGTGAGACACCATTTCAAAGAATAATAAAAAGCAGCCAGGCGTGGTGGCACACATCTGTAATCCCAGCCCTCTGGAGGCTGAGGCAGGAGGATCGTTGCGAGTTAGAGACCAGCCTGGGCTACAAAGTGAGCGCAAGGCCAGCCTGAACTGCATAGCAAGACCTTGTCTCAAAATGACAAAATAAATAAATAAATAAAAATAAAAAATAAAAAAAGCACGGAGGCAAGGACATGAATCAAAGAAATGGTGGCAGCAGGCTTGCTGGGTGCACTTGCCGAAGAACAGCCTAGCACGTACCCAGGTGTGCACACTTGTGGCCTCATGAGAGGCACAGCAAGTTACACACACACACAAACACGCTCGGCCCTCATGCTCACGCACGTGGCTGTGAATACATTCGTACCCTACACATACACAGCTCTCCTCGTGCGCATCTGCAGGCAGAAGTAGGCACGGGGAGGCAGCGACGAGGCGGGACGGAGCCCCTGCCCCAGGGCAGGTCAGCCCAGCTGGGTGGAGGGCCAGTGTGTTCAACCTTAGTGCAGCTCAGTCTCCCACCTGGGCAGCGGTAACTGATCTCTGAACTACAGGAACAGACTCTCGCCCCTGCCAGGGAGAAAGCCAGTGCCCCCCACAGGCTCATGATATCTGCAGCGGGCCGGAGACTCCTTTCCTCATGGATCAGCTCCTCGCTCAGCACAACGGAGCCGGTCAGGACAGACTGCGCCAGCAAGCTGCCGCGCCGGCTGGCACGCTTTGCCCCTAGGCCTGCCAACCTGTAATTGCAGGGCCTGGCATCGGGGCACAAGGGCACTGCCTGGTTTCCAGGGGCCGGCAGCAGCCCATCAACCTGGTAGGCAGGCGGGGGGGAGTCGGGCAGTGAAAGGGCAAAGTGCAACAGTCCTTTCTGGGAATTGTGGGCTCTCCTGAAAGAAGGGCTGCCCGTGTAAGAAGGGACACCTGGTGGATGGATCCTGGCAGGGAGATCAGGCCTTGCAGCAAGCGTGGGAAGGGCAGGTGGGCCTCTCCCAGCTCCTTGAAAGCAGCCCCTGGGAGGGCCTGCTTACTTCAGCCCAAAAAGCAAGAAAGAAGGGGTGCATCCTTGAAACCTCCCCACCAGGGCCACATCTACAAAGTGACAACAGCCGGGCATGGTGGCACATACCCGTAATCCCAGCACTCAGGAGGCTGAGGCAGAAGGATTGCTGAGAGAGGTCAACCTGGGCTACATAGTGAGTTCAAGCCCAGCCTGAAATATATAGTAAGACCCTGTCTCAATGCCCTCCTCCCCGCTAAAAAAGAAAGGGACAACGAAGCCTCTCAGAGCCACCCCAGGACCAGGGAGTAGATGCCACAGCCATGCCTGAATCCCCAGCTGACCCTTAACTGCAGCTATGGTACACACACATCCCAGCTGGTCCCCACCAACACCTCACAAACTCCTCTGGAGGCAGAAAGCAGGGCTCCAACCTATGTCTTTGCTCCTATGTCATCCTTCACCAGTCTTCTGGGGAAGGATGGAGGAGGCTGAGAAGGGTGGAGTCCCTTCCTGGCTGTGAAGGCCATGGTGGCCGCCATGCTGGCCCTGCTCTGGGTGCGGG